TAGGAATTAAATAGTATAAGATTGATGCCTGTTTATGGTCAGCTTTTATTTCCACCGAAGGATCCTAGTTTATGGTGGGCTCCTTGTGCACCTTGGGGCAAGTCCAGAGCTCCATCAGACACGCTCTACAAACACATGTGGCTATGGTAACATCCACTGTGTGGGACAAGGCTTTCAGAAATCCAACACGGAATTAGGTAAGAGTCTGATCATGATTCTATTTCTTAGGGTTGACCATATTCTAACTTACTTTTTAAAAACACTTTTGGAAAGGTTTCTTCTCCGTAAATTGCAAGCTTTCTGGTGGAAGAGAACATGTCTGCCTTGCTTACCGTTGCACATTCAATATCTCAGAGAATCAATTCAGACATATGGAATATATACATTAGACTCATGAAAGGGGTACGAGCTCTCGTCTCTGCCTGCCTAGTGAGGAAGACTGGTTTCCCCAGCCCAGTTATTGTGTCTTTGTGAATCCTTAATCCCACACGTGGACACCTTCTAGTCCAACACATTAATCTCCTAATACAGCCAACTCTTCCACTGACACTCAACCCAAGACTCACCCAGTGGGTGGGTGATCCTTGGAATGGAACATGTACAGCTTATCTTTAGGCAACTGCTATTCTTCTGTCTCGTTATTTGTTTCGTTGAACTTGGGCATTCGAATGCCATTTTCTTCTCCCTTGTCCCCTAAACAAAGCCACCTACTCACACAGAGAGACAGGAGCATTGCTGGGAAATGCCTGCATCATTGCCCGAGGGAATGGAGTCCATGTGTCTGCTTCCATGACCGGAAGCACAGCCCTGTGACTTCTGTTGGCCATAGGCATAAGAATGAACGTGGTATGAACAAAGGACTTAAATACACCTGTGTGTTTGGCTTGGGCTCTTATTATCCTGCGGCCCACCTGAGAAGAAAATTCTGTAAGTGGCTACTCTCCTACATGAGCTTTGCAGCTTGGAGGTCAGCTCACACCAACCAGTCTGAAAACAGTTGTCCTTGCCAGCTCACAAACTCATGATAAAGAATGAACAATTGTCTTTGTTACACAGAAAAACTGACTCATATATATGAACATATTATCACCACCACCTCTGAAACTTCAACTTAAAAATTCTATTCTCTAGGTCTGGTGTGATGGCTCGGTGGCTAAATCTTCACCTTGCATGTTTCGGGATCCCATGTGGGCACCAGTTCATATCCCAGCTGCTCCACTTCCCATCCAGCTCCCTGCTTGTGGCCTGGGAAAGAGATAGGGGATGGTTCAAAGTTTTGGGACCGTAGCCCTATTGGAAGACCTGAGAGGAGTACCTGGCACCTGGCTTCAGATCAACTCAACTCCAGCTGCTGCAGTCACTTGGGGGAGTGAATAAAGATCTTTGTCTCTATATCTCCTTCTCTCTGAAAAAAAAAAATCTGCCTTTCCAATAAAAATTAAATCTTTTAAAAATCTGTTCTCTGAATACAAAATTCTCGTCCATTATTTCCCAACCTGGATCGCCAGTCAGTAAGGTCTTCACCAATTCATGGATCAGCCATCAGCTGATGCTCATCTCTGTCACCATGCTGCTATTGGCTATCGCCTACCTGCTCCGAATGCATCACCTACAGGATCTGCAGCTTCAGTTCAGTCAACCTTCTTACTTGGACGCATTTTAACTGATCACTGGTTGCTTTGCTTGATTCTCATATGGCTATCTTGACCCCAGCCTCTTCTCTAAACTCAGCCTAGATTTCTCTTGCTGGAGAAAATAGAGCTGGTAGTGGAAGAGTTCACCAGTGGGAGGCAGGGTAGCACTACAATTGAGAATCAGAATAGGGAGCCTCCACCCCCAGACTTGGGTCTCCTTGGGTCTGACCTCTAAGTGTTTTTGGTCTTAGGCAAGTGACTTCATATATCTGATGCTCAGCTTCAGCATGTATAAATGGGACTACACATTTCATAGGATTAACTCCATGGGCAAAACAAGATACTTAATATAAGATGTGCAAAAATAAATGTGCTTTGCATAGTTGCAACCATATAAGAAATAATAACTTGCTCTATATTAGCAATAACAATTCTTTCCCTCCTCCCTGCCTAGCAGAGAAATACAAAAATCTCTCTCCTTTAACTTTCATGTTTGTTCTTGAGCTCACGGACACTTTTCCTCACATTAGTTTATAAATCTATTTATTTGGTTTTGATATATTAGTCTAGTGACATAAAAGGCTGGATACTTCATAAAGAAAAGGGGTAAATTGAGTTTATAGTTCAGGAGGGTCAAGGATGTGAGACTGGCCTCAGATCAACCTCATGGTGTCTGAGTTTGCAGTGGCATGACGGCATGCAGAAGAGAGTGACCACGTGGTGAAGTAAGGAGGCAGGGCAGCGGAAAGAATCATCTATACTCTTTGCCTTCATTTCCTCCCCAACCCCCCGCTCTACACAGATGCACAGAACGGTGACTGCTAGGGTCATGAGTCACCTGCTAGCTCTCACATACAAAAACTTCTTCATGATATTTATCCCACTTGAACTTTCTGTCTTATTGTGGAGCCATTCTTCCCTCGGATCCCAAAACCATACTCCCACCTCCCTTCCTGTTCTTTTCTCATCTTTCCAATTTTCTTTGGCTTTCCTTTTATGTTTTTGCTGTTTCCTCCATCCATTTCTTCTCATTTCCCTGAAGGATTTAAGCTCACACCTGAATGTAGATCACACGCTCCCAAAGTTCTACTGCATTCAAAAACCTACTTACAAATGGCTGCAGGGTCTCTTACACATACTCAAAGTCTAACTTATCTCAAGAAGTGACAAAACTTCTCTCTTATCCACCTAACAGCATCAACTTCTGTGCAGTGGCAAGAAAAAGAGGAACTTGAAAGGTTATTCAGCCTTGTCTTTGGCATGTCATTGAGTCCTGTCATTTCTTTCCATACGCTTTTCTTACATCTTTTCTCTCTTCCCCCATCCATGGCTCTTCTGACTGCTGCCATTGGAAATGGTTTTGATTCCACTTTAATGCACCTTCCATGCTGTTGGAATTATCTCCCAAAGGCCACTTCTCTGAGTAATCCAATGGATGCACAGCATCCATCATCTTCAGAATGAAGTTCAAATCTGAGTCCTGGCACACTTAGGCCTTTCACAATCTTATCTGACCTGCCTGCCCAGTCTCGCCACTCACTATCACCCCCTTATGCCATCTCCTTGCTCTAGTTACACTTCATGTCACATGACTCTGAAGACACCTTACATTTGCACTCCTTGCCCCTTTGGTTCTCTCTTCTTTTTCTGTTTTGTCCATACCTGAGCAAAGGCATAATTCAACCATTACCTCTTATCTGAAACATCCCCTAAGACAGACTCCCTGTGATCAATTACTCCCTGTGCTCTCAGAATACTTGCTTCATAGCAGAGATCACAAGTCTTCCCTGGCTTAAACTGCACTTTAAATAACATCTAACTTCTTTCCTTAACTTACTAATATACCAGATATCATTGGAACTCTGTCTACCCGTCCAACCTTTTGACATTCCCTTCCCCATTTATGCACCTTCCATGTGTCCCAAAGCAAGGTGAAAACCCAAAATGACCTTACATCTTTCAAAGGCCAACACAAAATCCAAAGCTAGGATGCCCTGTGAGCCCCTGCTTTTCTTACCTAGTATCGAAAGTGTTTTATCTCTAGGCTACCTATCAACCCAACCATTGAGAAGCATACAAAATAATAGTGGTATATTTACAGCCTCAATTGGCTTCTGTTCTGTCCAAGTGCTCCACATGCACCGTCTCATTTAATCCTCACATTTTCCTTGTCAGGTATGGAGCATTATCACTATTTTTAAAGGAGAATAATGATGTTACTAAGGTTGGATGACTTATTTAAAATCACCCTGCAGTGGCAGACACTTAATGTTTGGCATCCTAAAGCCTGTGCTTTGCTTGCTATGCTGTCCCATCTTCAGGGGACAGCTATGCAGGGAAGATTGGGGTTAAATCTGCCAGCAGAACCACCAGAAACATGATCTGCCCGAACACATTTGCCAGAAAACACCTGCAAGGACACTTAAGTTTTTAAATTTGTAGCCAAGACCAGCATTTTAAAAGTGATCCCTACCCTGGATCATTTAACTCCAGGGATTCATCCTGAATGGCAACACGATCCTTGTCCCCTGTGTGGTGTTCAAGTCCTCAGCTTCAGACCCACCCAGCACTTTGCTGGAGTCTGCACACCTGTAGCATATTGTTACAGGTTGATCAGGCCAAGACTAGCAAGTGCATTCCACCTCAACCTCTGTAAACTTGTAATACAGCTCAGAGGAGTGGGGACCATCCTTACTGCATCTGATTCAAATAAGAAGCATATGAAATAGGCTTACTGAAATTATAACAGTCTGAATATTGTTCCAGATACAGATTCTCCTGAGGCTATTGTCCTACAATCAAGGTACAGCAGTGGGGAATCATACACAAAGGGAGAAGCTAGATTGGCACTCTTTGAAACTCATGGGGAATTATTCTACTAAAGATTAAGTCACTTTTTAAGATCAAGCGGATCCCAGAAATAAAAATTCCTTTCCTGGGACAACAAACAGCATGCTGGACATCTGCAGTGACTTCCAGAAACTTCACTCAGGATTCAAGGAATTGACCAACCAAAATTCCTATGCAAAATGCACTACTGGTAACATCTTTTTTTACTGCTACCATGCACTTACTTCCAGAAAGAACACCAGGCATGTTGTGTGCCAAATGTCATATCTTCATCTAGGAGAAAGTGATATTGAAGAACAGATACAAGTACAATCTGAAGTGGCCAATCATTCCAAATGGATGTCCGCAGGCCAAACCCAGCAGATGGGACACTTCTGTGCTTTTAAAGTCTTACCTGGAAAGCCCCGGGCCACAAGCTGTGCACAGAACTCAGCTTCCAAGGACACAAGCCTTAGCTGCAAGCTCAAGCTTTCAAACAGTGTGCACTGGAGCTGGCACAGTTGAGGGTCTACTTACGCATGCAGTCGCCTCCGTACCATCCTGCACGACACTCTGCACAGTAGAATCCTTTCACATAGAAGTCGTCCAGAGTGCCCCCCCACGAGCCATTCCGGCAGCTCTTGCAATTTTCAAAGATGGTGCAACCTGTAATGTTTCCAAGGAGGGAGGTATAAGGTTAAACGCTTGCAGGTTCCAACTGAACGTATGCGAGAGAAGCTGTGTACATTCTCAAAGCTCTGTCCCAGCCAAGGGCATCTGGGAGGAAAAAAAGTGCTGAAGCCATGATGAGAAGCTGCGCATCCTAAGGGAAATGTCGCAGCCACCAAGATTCAAGCCAATGTTTCCAGGTCACATAAAAATATCCTGCAGTGTACTACACCCTGTAGATTCTGCTTTACTAAATCATTTTCTAATTTAATGATAAATAGCAAAACTCCCACTGTATTAAAATTTTGTTTTTTCACTTTTATCTGAAAGGTAGAGAGAGAAAAAACAAGAGAGAGAGAGAGAGAGAGAGAGAGAGATTGCTCCATCCTCTAGTCTATTCCCCAAATGCCTGCAACAAGCCAGAATGGTACTTGACTGAAGGCAGGGGTCAGGAACCATCGGTCTCCCACATGGGTGGCAGAAGCCCAAGGATTTGACCCTCCATCTGCTGCCTCCCAGGATGCACAGCAACAGGAGGATGGACTGGAAACAAAGTAGGTAGGACTCAAACCAGGCACTGCGATATGTGCTACGCATATCACCAACAGTGATTTAAGCTGCTGTGCCAACTGCCCACGTCATCCCTGTGCATTTTATAAAAGTTGGGCCTATGCTACATGGTACATTTAGTTTCTGTAATTCATTTTCTAATTTAATACTAAAGATCCTCCTAGGGAAGTAACTATGCCAAGACGTCCCTATTCACCTGTAAGATGAGCAAAAATCCAAAATGATGCATTCTGGGGCGGGCATTTGGTACAGCAGCTAAGGTGCCACTTGCAATGCCACATTCCTGACTGTAGTACCTAGGTTTGAATTCCAGCCCTGTTTCCAATTCCAGTGTCCCGATAACGCTTATCCTGAGAAATAGCAGGTAATGGCTTCAGCTCATGTACTTGGGTCCCAGTCACCTCCCTGGTTCCCACTGTGGCCTTGATTCAGTTCTGGCTATTGCAGGTATAAGGGAAATGAACCACCAGGGAACACATTTTTCCATTCTTCATCCTCTTCCTCCTCTTCTTCTACCTCCTCTTCCTCATTATCCTTCTCTCTCCTTCTCCCTTTCTCCCTTTGTCTTTTAATCCTATACACTTCCTCTTGCCAGATGGAACTGCTTATGATTCCTAAAACCTTATTAAACTTCACTTGCCAAAGAACCTTGGCCTGTGCTTCCTCTGTGGCTTCATCTCTCTGCTAAATTCCTTTTACTCTCCAATTTACTGCTTCCCCTCTTCAACACACACATCATCTTCTTTAATACACTTTTTGGAAATTACTTTATTTTGACAATCTTTACATAGTTGATTAGGGCACGAAAGGTCAGGTATTTAATACATTTTACCTGACATTCCTTTTGCATCCTCACCCCATTCCCATTTGTGCTGCCATGGTACCCTATGCTTCTAGATCACAGTACTTACCACATTACATTGCAGTTGCCTGTTCTACTTCTCCCCACCAGATGGTAAGTGCTGGGGATTCTAAACATGAGTATTTTCTTTATTAAAACATTATTTATTTGAAAACCAGAGTAACAGAAAGATTCAGAAACAGAGGCAGAATTCTTCTATCTGTTGGTTAACCCCTCAATTGGCTGCAGTAGCCAAAGCTGGGCCAAGCTGAAGCCAGGAATCAGAAGCTCCATCCTGGTTCCCCACAGGAGTGGCAGGGCGCCAAGGACTGGCGCTTTTCTCTACTCCCTTCCCACCTGTTATCCAGAAGTTGAGTTAACCAGGAAGCAAACCTCTCATGAAAAATAAATTACAAAAATTTTTAAAAGAAACTTAAAAATTAATAACAAAATTAGGCAAAAAAAAAGACTATACAGCTAATTCACAAAATAAATGAATTCCTAAACGAAATGGCAAAAAAAAAAATGAGAAGCTAGTATTAAAAGCAATCGTTTAAACCAATGTACCACAACCCATCTCCAGTATGTGTGTTCTTTATTTCAGTTCTTCTATTCCCAGTAGTTGAAAAGGCACACAGTTAGCTTGTTTAAGGGCACGAATGCGTATACAGCTTTACATCTTGAACACTGAAATGAAGACCCATCCCTCTTATTCATTTGTCTGTAATGTGAATAAGATGAACCATTTCATTTACAACTGCAGCTTGTTAGCACTCCAGCTTTCAGCCTGTCCCAATTAATTATCTCAGACAACAGGAATGCAGCCTACGGCGTCCCATTTCACACTCACCTGGGTGAATCAGGCAGGAGTCACACTCATTCTCCTCATTCCTACAGCAAGGGATGGTATAACCCACCACTTCCTTCTTGCCAGGGCAGACACACTCAATCTGATCGTATTCACAACATTCCCGACACATGATGTTCCACTCAGCTCCAGGGCAGCCTTCATTAATGACTGTGTACTCTGAAATGGAAAACCAGAAAGCAGATGAAACTGGGTCCTGGCAAGAAGGGTGTAAGATCTTTCAATACTCTACTGCTGAGAAGTAGCCTTGCCCTGCAAACAGGCTATCCTGCCTGAATGAGAGATCCTTGTGTGAATGCCTCCTGGGCCAGTGTCCTCTTAAGGTTGTATGCAACACCACCCATTAGAGCACAAATGTAATTTGTGCTAGCTGCCATTCATTTTAGTTTTTACATTTTTCAAAAAAAAAAAATCTTGTTCAATCAATATACAAAGTCTAAGTAGACTGACAAGAATATTTATGCAGTTTGTAAGCAAGAACATACTGTGGGGGATCTTTATGCTCATCTCTAGTTTTGTTGGTATACATCCAGGCATTGCTTCTAATTGTGTACTGCATAACTCCAGAGGGAGCCATTGGAATGCACAACTATGATCCGCAGCCTAGACACGTGAGCCATAATAAAAAAAAAAGAAGTGTGAAGTCCACTGTCTGAAGTAGGCTATTCAAAGCGAAGGCTGATCGCCAAGTAGAGACTACGTCATTTTTTTTTTCAAAACTTGGCTCCTCAATTTCACAGCATGCCATTTTCATAGTATCTTCAAAGCTAAAACCAACAGGAAAAACAAAAAGTACCTTAATTAGTATGATTGGGAGAATTTCAGTGTTTTACAAGGGTGAACTCATTAGCCCCACTTCATTCAGTCCCTAAGTACAACTTAAGAGTTCTTTCCCATGAGAAAAAGAGTATTCCTTTTGCAATGGATCTTTTTCCTCCCATCTCTCCTTTTGTGTGGTGTGTGTGTGTGTGTGTGTGTGTGTGTGTGTGTGGTGTATACACACCTTGAATAAAAAGAAAAACCATCTGGTAAAACCTGTAAGAAGAATCAGTTGGGGGCTGCCCAGAGGAACTCAGGATAAGCAATAGCCCTGCTAGCATTGATTTATTCTCATTCCCTACACTCCACCTCCAAAAAGTTAGCAAAACAATGATGATTAAAACAGAAACAGATCAGACATTTGAGGAAGAAAGAAATCTACAAAATGGCCCTGGGAAGACAGCCCTAGACACCCTGAAGAAGGATCACGGACACATTTTGTTGGCTCATAAAAGCCAACTAACTCTAGCGCTGGTGGTAACATCCCAATTCTGGCATCCCATGGTTTGGTTTTCTACTTTCTTTAGTATTTATAAGGCTGACACAGGTTTGATCTCTCCTAATCTGCTAAGCAGAGACATGTAAAGAAGCAGTTTCCATCTACTCTGAACATTGAGTAGTAAGAACCTTCTAGTGTGAGTAAGGAACCATTTACATAATAAAGTAGATTCTTTTAGTGTTATGAACAATTTCCACAAATATGGGTGGACGGATGAAGTTCCTCATACATGTGTTAGATAGCCTCTGAGTCGCTGCTTGGTTCACTATTCTTGAGTCCCTTTAGGCTGATCACCATGACTTATGACTTACTGACTTGAACATCCATGTTTCTGATGTCATGTGTTGATGTGATTGGCAGGTAAACTATATATAAAAATTTAGCAATCAAAAGTGAAAGGAAGAGAAAGGAAACACAGAGGTAGGTCTCCAAGTCTCTGATTAGGTAACGGGTTCTTAGAGCTGACACCACAAACACAGGCCCAAAAGAAAATCGAAAAAATCAGACTTCACCAAAACTTAAAACTTTTGTGTGCCAAATGACATTATAAAAAAAAGTTTAAAGACAACCCACGGAATCAGAGAAAATATTTACAAATCATATATCTTGTTAATGCATAATATTCAGAACATACAAAAGGCTCTTATAACCTAACCACAAAAAAGATCAACAACTAAATTTAAAAATGGGCAAATGGCTTGAATAAACATTTCTGCAAAGAAGATAGGCAAATTTCCAAGAAACATATGAAAACATACTCAAGACCACAAGTCATTTGAGACATGTCACTGAAAACCACAGTGTTGTAAAACCAGTTGCTGGGATAGCTAAAATCCAAACCAAAAAACAAGTATTAGCAAAGATGATGTGAAATTAGAGCTCTCGTGCATTGCTGACAGGAGCGTAATATGCAGAAAAAGGTTAACAGTTCCTGCAAAAGTTAAACCCAGAATTACCAAATGATCCAGAAATTCCACTCATGTATATGAGAAAACTCCAAATCTCTGTGGAAAACTAGATTTTAAAAAATTATTTGGGGACTAAAAAATCCATTAACTATGTTCATGGTACGCATATTCCAGGCACTCTTTGACAACCCTACATATGTCTAGAATATTGAAAACTTAACATTCTGTAAATATTCAGTCCCAATATTGAATATAAGGAATGAATATATTGCATGTGTTCACTCACAATAGTCAATAGGTGGAAATAACCCAGATATCCATCAGGAGATGAATACATGAACAAAACATAATGGAATATTATTTCAAAGGAAAGAAGAGCTGATATATGTTACATCAGATACGAATCTTGAAAACATTGTGCCGGAGAAAGAAGCTAGATTTTAAGTGATGAAAATTGCCTGATTCAGGTTAACTGAGACATGTATAATGGAAAAGGAGAAATAGGAGGCAGAGTTCCTCAGCAGCAAAGTGAAGGATGAAGGAAGTGGGTCTCATTTCATAGTCTCCATTGTCTGCTATACTCATGTTCTGTTTTCATTTGCAGCTATCCCTCTGTATTTGTGCAAACTGCATCTTCAGATTCAACTAAAATGGATTAAATTCATTTTTAATCATTGCACCTATACCAAAAATATACAGGTATCTATGGTCATTATTACCTAAACAGAATGATGCAACAGCTGCTTCCACAGCACCAACTATATATTAGATATTATAAGTAAACCAGGGCTAATTTAAAGGATATAGATTGCTGTGATTTGAATGTTGCTTACTCTCAAGGGTCCATGTGCCAGATGTCTATTCCCCAGGTGGCATTGCTCATTGATGATATGGAACTTTCAAGAGGTGGTCTGACCTTTGGACATATTATAGGCTAGTAGTAACCAAAATAGCCTGGTACTGGTGCAGAAACTTAGAAGACCAGTGGAGTAGAACAGAAACATCAGAAGGGAACCCACACATGTACATCCATCTAATCGTCAACAAGAGAACAGAAAACAACCCAGGGAAAAAAGAATGTGTCTTCAATAAATAGGACAATTGGATAACAGCCTGCAGAACTAAGACACAAGATCCCCATCTTGCACCATTCCCAAAGATCAAATCGAAATGGGCAAAGGATCTAAACCTACACCCAGAAACCATCAAACTTTTACAAGAAAATGTAGGAAATATTCTACAAGATATAGGTGCAAAGACTTCCTAGAAAAATCATCAAAAGAAATGGCAATCAAGATCAAAATAAACAAATGGCACTGAAACAAACTAAAAAGCTTCTGCACAACAAAGGAAAACAATCAAGAAAGTAAAAGAGCAACCAACAGAGTGGGAGAAAATCTTTGCACACTACACAGCAGATGGGGGGGCGGTAATATCCAGAACAAAGAACTTGAGAATAACGATAACAGCAAAACAAACCAGTGGAGAAATGGGTGAAGGAAATGAGCAGACACCTTTCAAAGGAACAAATCCAGATGGCTAACAGACATATGAAAAAATGGTCAAGCTCCTTAGCAATAAGAGAAATTCAAATAAAAGCCACACTGATGTTCCACTTAACTCCAGTAAGGATGGCCCACATACAGAAATGTACCAACAGCACCTGCTGATGAGGATGTGGGGGAAAAGGAACCCTATTCCACTACTGGCGGGATTGCAGGCTGGTGCAGCCACTGTGGAAATTGGTATGAAGAATACTCAGGCAATTGAAAATTCACCTACCATATGATCCAGCAATCCCACTTCTAGGAATATAATCCAAAGGGCCTGATACATGAGAAAGCAATGCGCACCCCTATGTGCTTTGCAGCCCAATCAGAGGATATAAAAGAAACAAGACTACCAGGAATCAAGGAAAATCAACAGAATGCATTTCTACTAAGGAATGAAGGTAGACTCAGATCTAATTTTAAGAGATTATGCCTTGGTGATACTCAATACTAACATGGTCATGGCGTGTTTTGCACATCTTCTCAGGGAATGGCTCTTTCTTGTTTCAATTTGCAGTTTTATAATGTCAATCTAATTATGTTTCCTGTGAATTCTTCCATTTCGCACTTCCTAGCTGTTCATATCTTGCCCAATAAGTTCTTGTGATTAATCGAACATCCATTAGAGACTGATTGCTTGTAAACACCTGAGATTGTTAATGTCCCTTTTATCACTGTTATCGCTACATCCCATGAGTAATGGTGTTCTGGTTTTTATTGTAATTTCTTTAGCACCACATGGGTCATGCGCTAGCATCTATTCCTATATGAAGGTTCTTGATATTCTTTCTCACTCCTCTAACAATGCAATGGTATTTTTTTTTTGCTTGTTCATTATCTTCATGTTAATGAAAGTTTACTATTTCTCTCCCCGTTGTGGACATGTACACTGCCTGTGTATTTAAGGGGATGCATAATGGAAGTGTAGCGGAAGCTGATATGTTCAGTGGTGGAGACAGAGAGCAGTATGTCTCTACGCATACAGAACAAGGATGGACTCCCAGTGAAATAGCTGACGATGTCCTGACTCTCCGACATTGTCCATGCCTACATTGTCGGGAGGCACTTCAATGGCAGCATGATGGATTTATGAATGTTCATGAAAGACACCCATTGTAAAACTAGAGGGGAAGTCATGAGGAGGGGAGGGAATTTGGGAGAGAGGTGGGAAATCCCAGTGCCTATTAAACTATCATAAAACAAAATGAAAAAAATTTTAAAACACAACAGTTGTTTTTTTTTTTTTTAAGGTGATCTGGGGCCCGGCACAATAGCATAGTGGTTAAAGTCCTCGCCTTGCACACGCAGGGATTCCATATAGGCACCAGCACTCCTGCTTCCCATCCAGCTCCCTGCTTGTGGCCTGGGAAAGCAGTTGATGAC